ATTAATATGAGGAAGAGATTATGTACAACAGCCTTCATGAGACGATCCATGATGTTCACTGTGTGCGGAGCATAGTCTGCGAGTTTGGACTTGCAGAGCTCCTGCACAGGAGCCGCACCGACGCGATGGAGGTGCGGAGATCCAGCAAGTCAGACTTCTGTGCGTGGAGCAAGTGGCCACCTGGCACCTGTGAAATGTCAGAGATGTTCACCAATGGGGCACGCAGAAGTATTGTATTCAGCAGAGCCATTCGAGTATCCCCTTGAACTGTTGCAGTAACAGTGTACAGTGCAGGCCCAGTCCCATGAGCCTGCGGTCCGAAACTCAGGCAAAGGCAATGCAAAGGCATGCAGCAGGTCTGGGTTTTCAGCCAAGGCTTGGCACTCACGCCCCTAACAATAGGGCCCCCAGAAAAAAGAAATTAGACGTCCTTAATAAGCGTCCCACGGTGCTGAGGGCCAGGGAGGCCTTGGAGATTATTTTAAAAAGGGATGGTCTGGATTCGGTCCCGTATTTTTGGGGCCCCAAAAACAAAAGACATTAAACAGGGTCACCCAAACAATGACCATGTCCCGAATAAGCGGCGGCGAAAACACATGAAAAAGGGTCCCTTAAAAAAAGTGAGTGCAACATTACCCATGATTACCCAAGCCCGTTGCCTTGCTCAGCTCCACTCTTCAGTTGATTTAGCTGAACCAGATGTGAGTTTGGGTATTTCTTCCTGAGCCACAGCCTGTTAAAAGATGGGAGTCAGCTGATCTCACTTGTGCTTTAGCTTCGAGGTTTGCCTACACGACGACGCCCTTCTTCCCAATCTGGGTGCTGAGCTCAGTTTGCAGATCTGGCAGCTGCATGCTAGGCTTTCGGCAGCTGCCGCAAGCTCGGATCCCACAGTTTGTTAGAGACGGTTAGGGTATGCTTGATTTGAGCTGGTCGCTTCGTGTCGCTTCGTCATTTACCTGCACGCTCGAGCCGCAGTACGGACCGGCGACCCACCTCAAGTGAAGCTACACAGCTTGCACAGATTCTGCCCGCCCTGCAGTCAAAGAACCTCCGGGATGTGGCGAAGAAGAAGAAAAGTAAGCGTTTGGGCAAAGGAATGTACTTGCCCCAGCGTGCTGCAGTTGAGTTTGGCTTGTGAGGCCAAAAGGGTGGCTTTCAGAATTGCGCCACCCAGAGACATTGAATTCACTCTTGCTGTCTGGGACTTGAACACTGAGGAGCTGCAGTAAAGGCCTCCACTGGCGCTCCAAACGCCAGAAAGGAAAGCAGGCGCACCGCTCGTCAGCTTCCAGCATACCGATTTCTTGCCTCAGGTGAATAATGAGGTTGTCTCCTGTCCGCTCCTGTCATGCCCCACAAAGAGCGAGTTCTTTACTTACTTGTGCTCTAAATAGGTTGCACATGTGACTGTATGAATTTCAGAAAGGCACGGTCGTGGGAGCGCGGCAACATGCCGCTCTTCAAACGGCTGCCTCGCTGGCCGGAGGCAGGCTCTGAACGACAAATCGAGAAAGTTAAGCCACCCTGCGTTTTCCCACAGGCTCACATGCGCAACAAGCGCAAGATGCTGGATCCCCTCAACCTGTCCAAGCTGCAAGGGGCTTGGATGCTGAAGACGGACGTCAATGCTCTTCAGGCAACTTACGGCAGCTGCTCACGCATGACAACTGCCGAGAGCAGTGCAGGTTGCACAAACTTCTCTTGTTCTCCATCTGTCAGTAGCTCAGGCGCTACTTCATCCAGAAGGGCCGCCTGGACCGCTTGTCAAGTAGCCGTTTGTGCCAGAACGAGGGACCAGCAACAGAGATCCTGGGAGACGTGGTAAGGACTTTTGCGGCTGGCAGGACACGCGGTTTCCCATCACTCAGCGGCACCTCTTCGAATCCAGGCGGTTGCTCGGGCATTCACGGTGGTCAACACCTCAAGCTGCAACGACATCCATGTGCAGATCCAGCTGTTGCAACAAGTTTGACTACAAGCCTTTTGTTACCACTATGTGAAGTGCCTCATACTTGCACATAGCGGACCCCCTGCAGCAGGACAGTGAGTAAAGTCAAGCTTGGCGTTGGGCTCTTCAATGCGGCGGCCCCTTCATGTCGTGGAGCATGTCTCATGTGCTGTGGGGACAGTTGGCAGGGTTGGAAGGGGGAATTTCCAGTCCATTTCCCAGCAAGTGCATGGGTTGCTCGCTGAGTCAGAGCAACTCTTTTGCAGCAACTTCTGTCTGCTGAGAACAATGATTTTCCATTCCCGTACAAGATCGACATCGAGGCCTCAGATGGCAGAAGTGTGACATGATGTCGATGACGTCGGAGCACCAAAGAGCACATCGCGAGAGCTTGGCTGTGTGTCGCACCTCCGAAGGTTGCAGGGGCCGACCAGAGCTCCATCGATGCGATAAAGGCGGTCGGGGGCAGCGTCACCATCGTTTATATGGTAGCGTCCTCAGCTGAACTGTTGAGATGATTTGACATGTGATGCAAGCGGCTATGGGCAGCTTCAGCCGCAGTACCGGCTGCCGCGCTTGAGGAACGCGTAGCCCTTCGAGCGCACCTCAAGCCCTGGAAGTTTGAGGCAGCGGGCTACTGTGTGGCTCCTCCGGCCTGTACTGCATCAGAGAGCCAGCAGGTTCTGCCAAGAACAGCACGCCCTACCATGAAAATGGCGCCCAGCTTGGACAACTGCTTCTTGCATCGTTCCGGATATGGGGAGGATAAATGAATAAATACATAAATATATATACAGGAAAAATATTTGTAGATATATATATATATATATAGACATAAAAGGGACAAAATTGGGGACTACGATATGGGATAATTAATAGGGATACTAGGAGTGTAGACTACGGCTTATATAGCACTGTTTCTGAATTTATGGAGGGTGGTAAGGGTGCAATATCACAAACGAGGTCTCACAACTGAACATGTTGATGTGTTTGGGTTGCATCTCGATACTGCCGATGCTCGTGTGTGTAACAGAATGTAAGAGTCAAACTTGCATGACACTCTGGTTTCCCTCAACCCACTACATCCAAAACACATGCCAGTCAACCTGTCTATTATTCTGGCAGCCTAATTTGGTAAGAGGATTTGTGCAAAAGTCAAGTTGCTTCTGACCTAGGGCCTGCAGCTGTCCTGTGTACAAACATTTGCAAGTTCATGCCTCAAGGCTTTAACTCGCCCTGCCCGGGAAAATCCAGTCAGCATAGTAATCTGCATCACTTATGGTCGTCCAAGAGCAAGTGCACTTTGGAAGGGCTGGACATGTCGGAATCCTTCATGTGTAGTACGATGCTGATCTGCTCGTGTTTGTGGCTGAAGCATGACGGCCTGCGTTGCATAAAGGTCACCTATTTGGAGAAAATGAAGGCGCGTGGATGCCATGTCAGGCACACGCCTCAGGGCTTCAACATGAACTTATCTCGGTTGCTGTTAAGGAATTTTAAATTGAGTTACCATGATGGCTAAATGTGGTAGTTAACATGGTTTCCCCAATATAGTGAGCTCAAATTAAGTTCCTTCACAGGGGAGTTTTATAAGGGGGTACTAAGCGGGATACGAGGAGTTTAGATTATAGCTCAAATGAAAATATGGCATGGTGTAAGCGGGCTCATATGACAATCAAGAAGACATGCTGCAAACGACTGTGCCGACATTGACTAGTAATAGGAGTATAATAGTAGCTATTATGGTAGTAAAAATATTTTTTACAGGATTAACGGTAAACCTAGTAGTAATAATAGCAATAATAATGATACTAGTACTAACCTATATAATAGTAATAACAGCAGGAATAGTAACATTGGTAATAATAGTGTTGATGGTATTAGTCGTAATACTCGTAGCAAGAAGAGAAATACTAGTCAGGGTGGTGCCACATTTGAATCCCTTCATGCTGCGCGGTGATACTGGAAGGCTATTCAAGTGCGCATGGTTGAATGGTAGTTTGAAATAGGACGGGATTCCTCCCGCCCCCCCCAAATAATGGATAATGAAATGGAAAACAACATGGAAAATGAAATGGAAGCTAGGATTAGATATGTGCCCCCACGCCTGCTAGAGACACATACGCATCCTTGTTGCACGCGTGTGGCGCCACGCGCTAAGACAAGGTTCAGCATCCATTTTTTTTGGAATTGCCTTCCACACTGGACATGTTTGCAAAGTGTGCTACAGATTTTGCACCCGCATTGCGCGGCGTGCCTCAAATCTTCTGTGAACGGACGGATCATTCGGCAAGGCATGGCAATACTCGCCGAGTATGTAGCGCAGTACATGGTGCATACCATTGCATCTTGACATTCTTGTCAGCTGATTGTCTGTCAAGCGGCTTTTGCTGGTTTGGAGCAATATGAGTGCATCTGAATGTAGCGCCTTTCTCATGACAAACCCGGATTCCGGATTATTCCTATTTTTACTACCATTGTGATTTATGTTACTCGTAGTACTCTTCTTGCCATTATTACTATTACTTCTCTTACCACTACTGTCGCCATTACTATTGCTATTATACCTTCTCAACTCCTTTCCAGGTACATCAAGCCCCTCTGGCTCATTGAAGAGGAAAAACGGCTCCAGAGCCAGTTGCGTGAACTGAAGACAGAGGACCTCAGAAAATCCGACGCGTTGAGGGAGGGTCTACCTGGGGTATAAGATTAGGGGTGCCATTTTGGGGTCTCAATAATAAGGATTCTAGTCTTTTGAGGTCTATATTGGGATCCCCTGTTTTCGGAAACTGCCACCTGACCTGGAGTCTACCTTGTACTGCTAATGGGTTGGTACGGGGTCTACAGGCTGCAGTGAGGCGGAGGATTATCTCAATGAACTTAGGGCCCAGCCGCTTCTATGAAGGGGAGGACATGTTCAAAAGTCACACCCTTTCAAAAATGTCCTGGCGCACCTGGGGCCGTATCCGTGCACCATGCAGATTGGAAAACAGCAGCAACAGAGTTCATAGTGGCAACACCAGCAAAAAGGGTATTGGAGGTCAGGCTTTGCAAGCTTTATCCCAACACAGAGCTGGATGCCTTGCAATCTCAACTTTGCCACGGCAGATGTCACCATCGAGCCCACCCGGCACATTGCTAGGATGCGGCGTCGACAGCGAGAAAGCTGGTTGAGTCCGGCGAGTACTTGCAGAAGACCACGCTCGGTTGATGAAAAAAGACTCTTCTGTATATTATAGGGATAATTGAAAAGAACATGGAAACTACTATATTATAGTAGCTTGCATTTTCTTTTCCATTATCCGTATATAACCCTACATGATTACTATTACTATAGTCATCGTTTGTGGACACGTTTCTTGCAACACTTCGCAGGACCATCCGGCCAAGTGAGGTTGCTCAAGCCTGATGTACATGCAGCCATTTTCAGGCACCGTATATGTCATGTTTAGACCGGAACGAACAGAGCTTTCCCCTGGAGCCATGCGACGAAGTTCAATGACCAGGGGCTCAGTTCCTGGCTTCCTGCTTTTGTTTCGTATCTATGGGCATCATCAATGCTGTGTGAGGCCAACATCCCTGTATGCCTTCTGACAATTTTTTCCTGGAATAGTTTCGACAAACCCAAAAGGTATAAGGTAATCTTTTCATTGCTTCAGACACGACACGCTAGCAGCGCTGAATCGTGCTTTCTCAGCGCCATGGCCGTACGGGAGGCATGGGATGGGTGCACCCATAGCCTGTCCCCTGCGATAGTACGCGCATTCAGTTGCATGTGCCTTGTCGTCCAATCAATCTGTTTGATTGTGATCCGCCAACAAACATCTAAGCACTGAGAGGTCTCGCTGCATGATTCCTTCCGCCTTCTTCGCAGCCACCTTCAGGGCTTCTTGGACACAGCCAGCGAGAAGAAGGTGGTGCTATGGGTTCCCGACACCATCCCCGTTGGGCCAGAGGAACCCTTGAATTGGACCTTCACAGGCTCTGGCAAGTGCAAGGTCCTACCAGATCATTTGCAGACGCTGGAGACATTGACTGCAGCCGGGGTGGTTGGACAGGACCTTGATGAAGCAGGGGTCCGTGCTTGGCTGGCGGCGCACGCCGGCAAAGAATGCGCTGTAGGACGTGTTAGAGGCGTGCCGTCGCATTTTACGGTCATCCAGGATGGTGACTGCCCGCACAGAGATAACGTGGAAACGCTGCAAGTCTCTTCTGTCCGTGAGGGTGAGAAGGTTACGTTCCTGCAGCAGTCCACGGTGATTCCGCTACACGCGGAGGGTGAGGTCGAAGCTTTTTTCTCGCAAGAACCTCTGGTGGTGGCGCTGGTCAGGCCACTCAGCATAGCTGAGATTGCTGAGGATGCAAGTCTTACTGGGGGTTAGTAGGGAACATGAGGAATGCGTAATATGAGCAGCTGCATTTATTTACGAAAGAGAGTAGAAGGCTAGGCGCGTTGGGATTTTTGCACCGGGTTCGGGCCGTGGATTGAACGAGATAGGCCACAGTTTCTTTTGCAACAAGAGCCCAGTACATGTTCCAACATGGCGAACGAGATCAGGTGATTTTGTCAGACTAAATATGAGGCGAACGAGATGAGGGGCCGCGGATTCAAAATGCCGCATAAGGCCCAGGTAATAAATACAAGCCGGGGCTCATATAGGGAGTATATTATATCTAGGGATTTATTCCCTGCATGTTCCCTAGTAAGGAGTGCTCTTGCTTCGCTCCATCTTTGGCGCTAGACCATACCGCTACAGTGCTTCGCGTGCTGTCATGTGGCCAGCAGAGAGCAGGCAGCTGAAAGTGCATCTAAGGTTCTGCTGCGAGCTCCACATCACGGACCTAGATATCAAACTTTGCCGGGCTGGCCGCGTGTATGCACAAGCGCACTGTAAGATCAGGCGTTCCTAGGAGGGCCAACATCGTTGGAACAACTAAACCGGTCTTGTGTCCAGGTGACTCTGTCTGCATAACCTGGGCAGCCCTGCAGCTGGACGAGACCGTGTGGGCCTATGCGCAGACAGCTGTAGCATAGTAGCATAGGGCCTTTTGCTTCAACAGATAGCTGCAACGCTTGACCTTGGTGTTCTGATCTCACTCGCTGACCCGCATGTCTACATACTTCCCTGAGAAAGGCTTACTGGTTCTTAGTAGGGAACAAGGGAATCTAATCCGTATATATAAGCCCCATATAGTACATTCCCATAATGCCTACCATAACCCCAATATATACCCTATTGAGATGCAGTAGTTTGCATTTGAAGCAGGGTGGCGAGTGCATGAGGCCGGCTACCTTTGCGCTGACCGTTGGGGCGCCTGCCGCTTCCCAGTAGGCTTCGGGCGCCCGGAGTTGCCAGAGGCAGTTATTGCAAGGATTACTAGAATTATTACTATCATTCACAGTACTATTACTCATTATTCGTATTAGTATTACTCATAATATTACTACTACTACTACTACTACTACTATTCTTATTTCTACTATGATTACCAGTATGACAATTATTAGTACTATTATTGTTATCACAATTCTTATCACTACTTTTTATTTGTTACCATTATTACTATCATTATTACTTGTACGTTATTAGTAGTGTTAGACTATTAGGTCTATTATTTGAATTATTACTGCAATTTCTTATCATTACTGTTATTACTATTAGTACAATTAGTACTCATTACTGGAGTCTTCATGGCGCCAGCTACCAACGCAATCTGGATTTCAACCCTGATGCGGCAGGAAAAGGCTGTGCATGACCTGGATGCAAGAACAGGACTTGAAAGCAGCTATATGGAAGTCCCTTGATATGTGTGATATTCCCCGTTCCATCTCATCACTGACCGTCGTGCGCACGTCTGGGACTTGTGACGCGGGATGGCCAGCGCGCGGAAGCTGTAGATAGTACGGCCCTATTACCTCTATGCAATGCAGTTTCCCTGAGGAGCTTCCCTGAAGTTCACGCTGCTCAATCGCCAGGGGCGTGTTTGGACTCTGATCGCAGGGGGCGGCGCAAGCGTTGTGCCACCGCTGAGTGAGAGTGGTCAATGCATCGCTGGCTTTGATACAACACCCTTTCTTGGGCCTGTGAATTTTCTTGCCGAGGTGTACACAGACACCATCTGCGAGTACGGCTACGCCAAGGAGCTCGCCAACTATGGTGAGTATTCCGGCGACCCTCCCGAAGAATTTGTGTATGAGCAACTGAGATGCACCGAGCCTGACAAGCATAAATTGCGGGCCTCAAATTAGGCACACTTTTCTCGAAATTCCTTGTAACCGGGGTATACCGGGATCGCAGAGTTTGAGTGTAGAGGGGGTGCCTTACTCTGTGAGCTATAAGGAGCTCTTGCTTCCGTGGCAGCATGGTGGAGTTCTATGTAATCATAGGTTCAATGGGTCAGCAACATGATCGCCTGTGCTTGCCAAGGTATGCCAAAGTAATTTTGGGAGTCATGACTTCCTCGCCCGAGCCGCACGGGAGTCTTGGAAGGCAATGGTCTCCTTCATTCGGATTCGGCAGTAGCCCTGAGGCCCCATGCAACAGCTCGCAGTACCCGCACAGCTGCTGCACAAAAAAAAGGCACCCTAAAGCCTAAATAGCAGTTTCCATTTTCTTTTCCATCATCCCCATGTAAACCCTATATATACCCTATCATAATGTAGTAGTTTCCATTTTCTTTTTCAGTATCCCTATATTATGTATGGTATGTAACCCCAAACCCTAAGCCCTTTGGCAGTATCCGCACGGCGTTATGAGACGCACATGGGTAGTTCCCAAAATTAATGTCCAATTTTCGTACCCCTAACTATTAGGTGCCGCAATATATTTTGGTACCGAAAGGTGCCCATAACTTTGGGAACTACCCATATAGTTGGAAAGCCATCAGGAAGATCCTGTTGATCGGGGGTGGCGTGGCCAATTTCACAGATGTTGCCAGCACCTTTAAGGGCCTAGCCGCTTGGAGACATGGATACCATTACTATTACTATTCAATATTATTACTATTACCATTATTATTATTGCTATTACTATTATTACTATTACTATTCTTATTACTATCATATATAGGGATAATGGAAAAGAAAATGGAAACTACTATATTATCATAGGGTGTATAATATATAGGGCTTATATAGGGATAATGGAGAAGAACATTGAAACTACTGGATAGCGTTGTTGTAGCATGGCTCAGCGGTCCAGCGGCATATGCCGAGGATCCTTTGAGAATAGCAGAGGATGCATACCAGTAGCGCAGCATCAGCAATGGTAAGAGGAGGCCTAGATGATGGGATAGTACTAGTAATAGTAATAGTAATAGTAATAGTGATAGTAATAGTAATAGCAATAGTAATAGTACTTGTGATAGTATTAGGATCAGTACTAGTATTGGTATTGGTATTGATATTTCCTGGTCCTGTTGGCGGTAGGTGAAGGCATTGAAGGAGTTCGGTGCCGCATTGAAGGCCTGCGGGACGAAGCTGGCCAAAGATACATGGGAATTTCCCAAAATCAGGGAACCCCAATAGAGACCCCAATATACTATAGTCCTTATTATGGGGATCCCCAAAATGGTACCCCTAATTTTGGGAAACCCCCACATGGGACTTTTTATTTTGATGATGGCAGGTGCTGTCTGCCTCTCACGTGTCTAAAGAAGCATTTAAGCTTTGAGTCATTCCCCCTCCCAGTAACTGTCCTTAAAGGGGCCTTACTAAGGGGG